GACGACGACGACGACGACGACGATGACGACGACGACGACGACGACGACGACGACGACGACGACGACGTAACGACGACGACAACGACGACGACACTCCCTGGCCCCCTCCTGGGGTGCGCTCTGACTGAGGACCTCGAAGCCGCTCCAGCGGTGGTGCCGAGGGCCTCTCGGGAGGCCCAGCGAGGCGGAAGGGAGGCAAGGGCAGCAGCATCGGTACCTTTTCCTCCTGCGGAGTCGTGGAGGAGGAGGAGGAGGAGAAGGAGGAGGAGGAGGAGGAGGAGGGAAGGAGGAGGGGGAGGAGGAGGAGGGGAGGAGGAGGAGGAGGAGGGGGAGGGAGGAGAAGGAGGAGGAAGGAGGAAGGATGAGGAGGAGGAGGAGGGAGGAGGAGGAGGAGGAGGGACGAGGACGAGGGAGGAGGGAGGAGGAGGAGGAGGGGAGGAGGAGGAGGAGGAGGGAGGGAGGAGGAGGGAGGAGGAGGGGGAGGAGGAGGAGGAGGAGGAGGAGGAGGAGGAGGAGGAGGAGGAGGAGGAGGCGGAAGGAGGAGGGAGGAGGAGAAGGAGGAGGAGGAGGAGGAGGAGGAGGAGGCCCTCCGCGGGCCCTCCAGCGGCCTCCGAGGCCGGCCCTCCGGCGGCCCTCGCGGGCAGGCCCCCCGAGGAGGTGCCTCGGACACGCGGGGGCAGCAGCGGCGCCCTCGGCCGGCCGACGGGCGCGGCGCCGTCCTCGTCCCCGCGCTCGCGGAGGCCTCGCGCAAGCATGCGGGCCATGAGGACGTCGTCGTCGAGCTCGGCCTCGCGGCGGGGGGGGCCCTCTCGGAGGGCCCCCTCGGAGGCCCAGAGGCCTCCGGCGCTATACGTGTCTGCTTTGTGTCCCCGCCGCTCTGTGGTGCGGGGTCCTCGCGGCGGGGGGGGCCCTCTCGGAGGGCCCCCTCGGAGGCCCAGAGGCCTCCGGCGCTATACGTGTCTGCTTTGTGTCCCCGCCGCTCTGTGGTGCGGGGTCCTGGCTCTGAGGAGACGGCGCTCCGCGTCTCCGTCCTGCCTCCTCCCGCCTCCCCCCCCCCGCCCCCCGTCCTTACCTCTGCTCCCCACATGCCAGCCAGTTCGGCACACCCATCACAGCGCTTCGTGGCCCCACGGGGAGCTCCACCTGGGGCCCCAGGGGAGTGTCCTGCATGCGGCCGCCCCATCCAGTCCGGCACAGCCCTCACAGGTTTCGTGGACCTCTGGGCAGCTCCAGCGAAGGCCTCAAGGAGGAGTACCACATGCGGCCGGCCCGCCCATCTCGGCACACTCCTCACACGCTTCGGGGCCCCAGAGGGGGCTCTATCGAAAGCCCCAGTGGCAGCGCCCGCATGGCCGCCCCGCCCCATGTCGGTACGGCCCTCACACGCTTCCTGGCACCATGGGAAACTCCACCTGAGGCACCAGAGGGGTGCACAACAGGCGGCCGGCCCACCCATATCGGCACACCCCTCACAGGCTTCGTGACCCCATAGGGAGCTCAACCTAAGGCACCATGGGTGTGTACCACACGTGGCCGCCCCACCCATTTCGGCACAGCCCTCACACGCTTCGTGGTCCCCTGGGGAGCTCAACCGAAGGCCCCAGTGACAGCGCTCGCATGGCGGCCCTGCCCAATTTCGGCACACCCCTCGCACTCTTCGTGGCCCTATATGGGGGCTCTACCTGAAGCCCCAGCGGCAGCGCCCGCAGGGCCGCCCCGCCCCATGTCGGCACATCCTTCACACGCTTCGTAGCCCTATCAGGAGCTCCACCGAAGGCGAGTCTCACAACGACGGCACTCGCAACGAAATATGGTTGAATCCTTCGCCAGGGTAATCCAATCCTGTTTTTCCCTCGAGTTCAGCATTCGGGAGCCCGTTATCGGCCCCCGGGCCCTTGAATAACGAATCCTGGAGGGCACACTGGCCCAGGCGTCAGGGCATCCCAAACCCCCGACGTCATGATTTTTTCATCACGCGACCAACAGAGGTCCAGACCCATTCCCCAGGACCGGTTTTTCATCCCGAGTCGTTTTTTGACGGTCCCGAGGCCCAGTAAGGGCCCTCAAAGGCCGAAACTAGCGAAAAAACTCCCGTCGTGATTTTTTCATGACTCGAGGAGGTGTGGGATATCCGCCGCCCCCGGCCGGGCCCACCGCGGGCCCAGGACCAGGGTGCACAGCCCTCGCGCAGCCCAGAGCAGAGAAGAAGCGCCAGACAGGGGCCGACGGAGGAGCTTCCCTGGCCACGGCGAGCCTCGGCCAAGGGGAGGTTCCCCGACCTCGACTGCAGGAACGAGGAGGAGGAGGGAGGAGGAGGAGGAAGGAAGGGGAGGAGGAGCCGTGAGGAGGAGGCGCAGGAAGGAGGATGAGGAGGAGGAGGAGGCGTAGGTGGAGGGAGGGGAGGGAGGAGGCAGGAGGGAGGATGAGGAGAGGAGGAGGAGGAGGAGGAGGGGAGGGAGGAGGAGGAGGAGGAAGGAGGAGGATAGGAGGAGGAGGAGGAGAAAGAGGAGGAGGAGGCGGAGGAGTCCCGAAAACGATTGGCGGCGTGCGGCACCCCTGGGGCGGGGGCCCCCCGCGCCAACGGCGTCGGCCGACGACGTCGCGACGACGACGGTGGCGACGTCGCCCCGACGACGACGACGACGGCGACGTAACGACGACGACGACGCCGACGCCGACGCCGACGCCGACGCCGACGCCGACGCCGACGCCGACAGCCGGACGCCGACGCCGACGCCGACGCGAGACGCACGACGCCGACGACGACGACGACTACGACGACGTGGGACGACGACGCCGACGACGACGACGACGACGACGACGACGACGACGATGACGACGACGACGACGACGGCGGAGAGCCCTCGGAGGCCCACCGGAGGCCCGCCTTTCGGAACTCCGACTCGGAGGGCCTCTGCTGGGGGAGGGGGTGCGCCCTCGGGCAGGAAGGCTCCAGAGACCTTCGGGAGACCTCCCCCTCCCCCTCCTCCTCCCGCCCCCTCCCCCCACTCCCCTCCCCTCCCCCTCCCCTTCCTCCTCCCCCTCCTCCTTCCTCCTCCTCCTCCGCCTCCCTCCTCTCCTCCCCTACCTCCTCCTCCTCCTCCCCTCCTCCTCCTCCTCCTCCTCCTCCTCCCCGACTCCAGAGGAGGACGAGGCACCGATGCCGCTGCCCGTGCCTCCTTGTCACCTCGTTGGGCCTCCTGGGAGGCCCTCGCCACCACCGCTAGAGTCGCCTCGAGATCCTGGTCAGAGCGCAGTGGAATGGCGGTATCGATCTACATTCTGGTTCTCCCCCGGAGCGCCTCCCGACACCTCAGGAAACCTCCCGAGGCTTCGCCGACCTCTAGAACGGCGCTCTCGCTCAAGTCTTCCTCTCGCAATTGAGCCAAGTTGGACTAAGCCCAACTACGATGACAACGGCTCCCGCTAGATAGGTTAAGTCGGGCGTGCCCCCCTACAGAAGGATTTTGGGCGAAAAAACAGAAATACAACAAACAAAAAACAAAAAGTCGTCCCCTGACTATTTTAAATTATGTTTTGAATCTTCCCCCTGTACAGGGACGGGCCCGACTTAAAGACAGGTCCCCACAATCTATTCCGAGAGCCCATGGCCAGAGAGGCCCCCAAAAACTCAGGGACTTCGCTCTCGCCCTGGAGCCCCCACCCCCGGAGCCCCCACACATCAGGCAAGGTGGTGGAGGCCCAGCTGCCGACGGCACCGCCTCCCGCTCGATACGTCCGCACAATATACAGTCGGGGCGTTGACCTAAGGAACCCTAAATAAGGAACGAGGCCCCTTTTTTCCATAAGTTGAATTTCGATTTCCGATCGAAAACATAAGGACAACCTGAGGCAAGCTGTGAAACACTTAAGGAACGCGGAGCCCCTCCCCAACGAAAAGGGTTCCTTCTTCAGGGCCCCGACTGTACCCACGGATCCACGAGCACTGAAAAAATGGAAGCTCGTGGATCCGCTCCAAAAGTTGACCTTGCCAAACAAGCAAAAGCTTGTCAAGCGAGCAAAGGTTTATCATGCCGAGAAAAAGCTTGTCACGCCTCCCGCTCGGAGTATACTCCGAGAGGCCCCAGATGGCGTCCTCCGAGATGCCGACGCCGCACTACAAACGACGAACGACAAAACGTCAGCTGTCGGAGGTCCGCGCCGATGGAACTCGTGGGTCGACGCTGGACCCCCCCTTCGAGGGGCCACGAGGGGGGGGGGCGGGGAGCCAGCTCAGAGAGGGGGGGGGGGCAGCGAAGGGCAACGAGGGGGGAGGGGCAACGAGGGGGGAGGGACAACGAGGGGGGAACGAGCGAGGGGGGCAACGAGGGGGGACGCTGGAACCCCTCTCGAGGGGGGCAACGAGGGGGGGGGGGAGGGGACAGCTCAGAGAAGGGGGGGGGGGGATCGGCGATACCCCCGGCAATAGATCGGCGGCATGGCCACGGTAGCAAAATCGCGTGTTTCTGAGCGGGCCGGGCTTTTAGGGCTAGGTCGGGCGTGCCCCCCCACAGGCGGGTGTTGCACAAACAAGGACAAGCACTAGAAAAAATAGTCCCCAAATGGCTCAGGAATGCGAAAAACATAGATCGTCCCCAGATATTGCTTCTATCTTTGAAGATTCCTCCTGTAGCGAGGGACAGGCCCGACTCGACTTGAGGGCCCGTCGGCGACGATCCGTGAGCGCTTTGGGGTCGCTGCCTGCCGCCCGGAGCCCCGCGCTCCCTTCCGCGGCCCCATGCTCCCGTCGGCCGCCCCCTCGGCCGAGGAAGAGTCTCCCCCGCCTCCGCCCGCCGTGCACACTCCACGACGGGCAGCTCTCGGCGCCCCGTTCGGCCTCCGGGAGGCCGCCTCCTCCTCCTCCTCGGCCTCCGGGAGGCCCTGTCCGTAGAACTTGGCTCATCAGAGGTCCGGCGGGGTGAAATGGGACGTGGGCATGGAAGCCGCCCTGGCCGCACTCCTCGCAGAGTTTCCTCACGGACGGGGTCTGGGACCCACAGGTGACGACGAGGCGGATGCACTGATTGGGTGCCGCTGGGCAGCGCTGAGGCAGGAGGGGCACGCGCTGGAACAGCAGGCGGGGCAGCTGGGTGGTTCTTTACCGAACACGCAGGAGGTGCAGCGCATCCGCTCGTTCCTGCGGTGGGCGCAGCGCGAGGGTGTTCTCCCCATGCCCCCCCACGCCACAGTGGCACTGCCGGTCCGTGAACAGCACGGGACTTTATGCACAAGTGTGGACGGCAAGACGGTCCGGTGGCATCTCTTCACAGATCGAGAGGTGGGCATCGCCTCCGCCTTTGATCACCTCCAGGTGGCGCTCGTCGGGCTCCCGGGGGCGCGTCTGGCACGGGGGGTCAAAGTTCCGCAGCTGCCATGGATGGGGATCATAGCCAGAGGGGGCCCGTCATACGCTTCGGCAGCAGTGGTCTGGGACAAGGCGCAGCTCCCCGAGCTGAGGGAAGTAGTCGAGGTGGGCTCGGACCGGCGTCTCTGGGTCACCCACCGAGACGCGGGCGGCGTCGCCTGGTACATTTGCACCCTCTACCTGCCCCCTCTACCCAAGTCAGGCTGCGATGTTGACTGGCACGCCCAACTGGAGGGGCTCAGCGAGGACATCAAGGAGGTCTGCGGTGGAAGCCCGAGGGCGCCCCTCTCCATTCCAATTGTCCTGATGGGTGACATCAATATGCAACCCGCGGCCCTGGGAGGTGACCGGGAGCCAGCCAGGGCGAGGGACAGGCGATGGGCCACTTTTCTGGAGGAGTGGGGTCTTGCGCACCTCAATCCCCAAGTGGGTCAGGGCCCACGGACAGAGGTCTGGCTTCCGCGCAGGAGCAAAGCGGTCCCTCTCCGTCCGGGTGACACACACCACGGCGGCACCCCGCGGTGCATTGATGTGGTTGTTGCGTCCCCGCCGGCGGCGGGGCCGGCGGTCGTACACAATGGGCTGCATTGCTGTACAGGAGAACCCTGCCGGTGGCCGGAGTGCGTCGACTACACGTTGGGGGACCATTTCTTTATTGAAGTGCAGGTTCCCCTGGCTGTCCACACAGGTCGCAGAGCGGGGGGTGCGCTGAGGATGCCCCGCTGGTGGCTGGACGGGCCCGCCTGGGCATCAGGGTTGGCGGCGTCGGCGGGGGCGTTCCGGAGTCTGGAGGGCCTCCTACGGTCGGTTTGCACGGGGCAAGGTCGAGGGGTGTACGGGGCTAGGCTGCATCGGGCGGCTGCGCAGTGGCTCTGTGATGCCTTGGCGTGGCTGCTCCACATCATCCTGGCCCTTGCCATGTCGGGGTGGGTGGTCCCGGCAGATGCAGGCTCTCGCTACCGGAGGAAGCTTGCAGGGGGAAAGGGGTCGCAACGGCCACTGGGCAACCAGATCCGGGCGGCTCTCGAAGAGGGGGGTGCGCCTGCGGACAAGGTTGCCCGCTGCCTCCGGGTCCTGGAGCCTGCTGCAATCCAGCCGGCACCGTGCCTAAAGGTAGGGGAGGTGGCCCTCTCGCCGGCGGACTCGCTTGCAGCATGGTGCGCGCAGACCCGGGATCAGTCGCGGTGGCCAGGTGCGTGGGACGCGCAGAGGCACGACATGGTCCAGGGCGTGGTGCGGTGCCAGGCAGGGAGGGCCTGGGCGCGTCGCGGGCGTGGAGAACTTGACGGGCCCGTTGTCCAAAACGAAGTCCGGGGCGTCCTGGCGAGATGGTCCACCACGGACGCGACCACGCCAGACCTGGTTCCCCGCCTCATCCTCCAGCTGTCGTGCGCCCCTCTGGACACGGTGGTCTGGCTCATCATGCTTGTCACGGGCCCCGGCTTTCTGGCCACGCGGCCACGGGGGTGGCGGAGCCTCTGCGCAGTCCCCCTTCACAAGGCAGGCCCCCCGGAGCTAGGGGAGAGCTTCCGGCTGATCATGGTCAAGACGCAGTTCGGCCTCCTCCAGGAAACCATTCTGTGCCAGCGGGCAAAGCCCAAGGTGCAGTCCTCGGTTCTCCCCGGCCAGAGCGGCTATGTCCGCGATGTCGGGGATGCCCAGCTCCTGCTCCATGAACTGGCCTCGCAAGCGGTGGACCAGCGCAGGGCTTTGTGGGCCGTCTCCGGCGACCTCCAGAAGGCGTTCCCGCGGGTCTGGAGGGAGGGTCTCTTACACCGAGTATCCACGCATGTCGGGCTCCGGGACGGGTGCTTCGCCCTCCTGTGCAGCATCCTCGAGGAGGACATGGCGCACGTGAACGTCAACGGGGTAGCCATCGTCTGCGTCGTGCAGGGCATTGCGGAGGGGGGCACGGTGGGGCCGATGTTCTTCCCGTGCTACATGGACGGCCTGCCGCGGGCGCTGGGCGATGCGGGGCTCGGGGTGGGCCTGGGGCTCCAGATGCCTAGGGAGTGGTGGGGCAGGGAATGGCAGTGCACTGGTCTCCCCAGGGACGACATGGTGGACTCCCTGCAGAGGGCCATCCGAGAGCAGGTGCAGGTACACAGGCCTCCACGCATGGCTGCTCAAGGAGCCAAGGGATCGTTAAGGCTGCCCAAGGACGAGTGCGGCCATGGCCGCACCTGGGGCAACGTATCCCCCACCCTACCTCTATCACCCTCCACTCGTCCCCACCCCAATCTCATGCTCTTAGTTCTCCTCTTGGGTCTATGTCTTATTCGGGCCTCCGGGGTGAGGGATCAGGGAGGAGGAGTAGAGGAGGTGGGAGGGGGTACGGCTAACCCTTGCCCCCTCGGGGGCGCCCCCTTTAGCGACACTCTGGGTGGTAGGTCCGCGGCCTCTGGGGTGGGGTCTTCCTTCTGGCGCCCGGACGGACCTGCCACCGGCCAGAACATCCAGATCGGGGGCGGGAGTGTACAACCCTCCTCGTCTCACATTCGCCATGGGGCGGTTGGGTCTCCGGACCTTTCCCCAGGCGAAGGGGCGGGGAGCGGCGCCGGCGACGCCCGTGGTCCAGGCGCGCCGGCTGGCGAACGTTTTATTTCGGGGCCTTTGGAAGTGTGTTCTTTGGACCCTTCGACACCGACAGGTAGGACACGCTGTCAACGTAGGAATTTGCGTCGCAGAGAGGACCGTAGGAAAGCTAGGAAGAGGAAGAGAGCTAGGAAACGATCCCAGGCGATGCGCAACTTGTCGCTTCTACGTAGGAATAAACGAAAGCACCAAGACATCACCCGTTATATCCCGGGGGGCGCCTGGAATACCAGGCGTTTCGGGGCAGGCGATCAAGCCATGAACCAGGAATTCAAGGCAGAATGTCTGTTCACGCTGATGAACACTCGGCGGTGGCAATTTTGCCTGCTCTCCGATCTTGATTTCCATAAAAACGGGGTCCGGGAGTATGAGTATGGGGGAATTCAATGGACCTTAGTAGTCAGAGGGAAGGTAGGGATTGCATTGAGAGGGGAGTTGGCTAGGGAGTGGAGAGACGGGGGGGAGGATGTGGTTGTGAAGGGAGGACAGGAAAGGAAGGGGACCAGGTGCATGGCTGTCACTATCCCTAGGGTGGGCCGCCGTCGTGGCCTGACCCTCCTGGCGGTGTATGCTCCGTGCTCCGGAAGTAAATATGCTCGTGCTCGTGAGCGCTTCTACGATGAACTTGTGTTCGTGGAAGCAAAAAGCAGGGGGAAGGATAACCTTCTTGTCATAGGGGGGGATTTCAATGCTGAGGTGGGCCGCCGGGTCACACCCGACGATCACAGCGTTATCGGTGCACATGGCCCCCCTAGGCTCACGGATTCTGGCCGGGAGCTCAAAGCGTTCTGCCGTGGCCAATACGTCGTCATGAGCACGGTATTCCGCCAGAAGATGGCGGCCACGTGGTGGCACGTACGTTATCGTACTGCGCACCAGTTGGATCACTTTCTTGCTAGGCCCCGCGATTGGTGGAATTTCACGGGATGTAAAACCCTGCACTTTGGGCAGGGCGGGCTCCAGGGCGCTCGCCGCTCTGTCAAGCGGCGTCGCGAGCAGGCTGACGATCTGTGGACTGTCAGGGAGGACGGCGCGGTGGCCTGGTCCCCGTATACGGACCACGAACCAGTTGAGATTCACTTGCGTGTAAAGGCGTCTCGCTCGAGTCAGCCCCGAGGGGATGTTGCTCCCCCGGCGGTTGCCCGGCCGGACTACGGGAGTATGGTGGGCCCGACTGCAGGGGCTAAAACCAATAGGGAACGGTTCGCCACCACTTTGACGGCGCGGGTCTTGGCAGTTGGCCGCCCCTTAGAGTGGCGAGAGATCTGCTCAGTAGTTCAGACGGTCGCGCTGGAGGTTCTTGGTAAGAAGCCCAAGAGGCACCAAATCCCGTGGTTACAAGGCCACGAAGCGGAAAAGAAAGCTTTGGATGAGGAATTGGAACGGGCCAGGATGAAGTGGGCTCTGGCGCCGGAGGAGGAGGCCGCAGCTGCCCTCCTTGCCAAAAAGGAAGTTTCGAGTCGCCGCCGCAGGGAGCTGCGGTCATGGGAACGCGTGTACTGGCAGGGAGTGGGTGCCCGTGCGTCGGAGGCAGCGCATCGTGGGGACCAAGGGGAATTCTTCCGTTTGTTCAAGGAACTGCGGATAAGGCAAGGAGATTGCCATGATTCCGGCCGCTGGAGCGCCCACAACGTCGAGGAAGAGCGTGAGGCTTGGAGACGACACTTCGAGAAGATCTCCGGCGACGCCGGGGCGGTCGCTGACAGGGTCTGGCAGCATGTACCCTGTGTACTAGCGCCAGCATCATGGCTCGACCGGGAACCCACCGAGATCGAGCTCGATCGATGTGTGAGCAAGATGAAGACTGGCCGCCAACCCGGGGAAGACTGCTTTGTGGCCGAAACACTTAAATATGGGGGCCCGGCTATTCGAGCGGAAGTATATGGCACCGTGAAGAGGATGTGGTCTCTGGCGGCCACAGCCGTCGAGAGGGAGGAGGCCGAAGCGTGGCCGGCAGAATGGCGGGTCGGCCTCGTCGTCCCGCTATGGAAAAGGAAAGGTTCGCTGAAGGATAAAAACACTTGGCGGGGTATCACGCTTCTTTCGGTGGGCTCCAAGCTCCTCGCCCGCGTGGTGGCGTCGAGAGTGTCAGAATGGTCAGAAGCATGGTTGGGGGAGGAACAATCGGGCTTTCGCCGGGGCCGGGGCACGGACGACGCCCTTCAAGTTGCGCGCCGGCTGGTCGAGGAGGCGTCGGCACTCACGGAGGAGGTCGTCATTCTGGCTTTCTTTGATATTGAAAAAGCATACCCCCGGGTCTGCAGAAGCGCTCTGTGGGAGGTGCTCAGAAGAAGGGGATGCCCCCAGGGCCTGATAAACATCTGCAAAGCGCTACACGAGCATACTGGGTACAAAGTGCGGGTCTTGGGCGGCGTCTCCTCCTCGTGGTTTCCTCGTCGCGGGTTGCGGGAGGGCTGCCCTTCCAGCCCTCCGTTATTTAATGTGTTTCACGATGCAGTGATGAAGGACTATCGTTTGCGGCGCAAGCGGCAGGCGGAAATCGCAGGAATGTGTCCCGGAATCCCTTGGGAATACCAAGTGGACGGCCGTTTAGCAAAGCGGGCCCGGACCCGCCATCAGAGTGTGGGGGCATCTAGTTTTGCCAGCACTCAGCGCACGACCGTTATTGGGGACATAGGATTCGCCGACGATACCATGATCGCCGGTTTTGCCCGTGAGATGAAAACGGCGGAGCCACTACTAGTCACCACAATGGAAGATTGGGAGGAGAAGGTAAACAAGGGCAAAACTGAACGGCTTCGTTTGGGAGGCGGCCGCAGGGGGCCTTACGATGTTCGGGCGGAGTTCGAAGTCCCTTCGCTCCGTCACATCGGGGGCATCCACGGGGAAAGCGGCTCCCAGGCCGAGGACACAGCGAAACGGGTTGCTGCGGGCAATGCTATGGTCCGTGCTTTGGCCAAGGGGTGGTCTCTGGGGACTGCCCATGGCCGTGGGCGCGGCAGCGGGGTGGGCATCACCACTCGGTTACATGTCCTTCACGCGTGTGTGGTCTCGTCTATGCTCTCGGGCTCCCGATCCCGATCTTGGTCGAAAGGTGAGGTACGGCAAATTCAGAGGGTCGCCAACTATGGGGTCAGGCGGGCCTTCGGCCTTGACACTTGGATTATGATGGACCTTTCTGTGAAAGATGTCGATTTGTATAGATCGGCCCAATGGAGGACCATGGAGGACCATTTGTTTCGTCTTAGCATGCAATGGCTGGGACACGTCGCCCGCATGCCCGTTTGGCGCCGGCCCAAACAGGCCCTTGTCGGCTGGATAGCCGGACGCAGTAGTGAGGAGCGAAGCAACAGAATGTGGCAATACAATTACCTGCTGTCCGGCGTGCGTAAAATGTCGATTCACGAGATCGATTGGTTCCGACGAGCGATGAACCGGAAAGGGTGGAGGAGCGCCCTCGCCAGGGCCTCCCCGGGGCCCGAAAATTGCCCTGAACATGCTCGGGCCCTTGATAGATGGCAGCCGGGTGACCCCCTCCCTTTCCTCGTTACGCAGGATGTGGGATCTGGTGGTTGTGGGGCCACAGGTAAGGGGAGGGGGAGGGGTGTGGGTGGGGGTGGGGGGGGGGGGTCCCTCCCCTCCCCCTCCCCCTCCCCCTCCCCCGCCTGCTGCGGCCAACCGC